CTAGCGTTAGGGTTATCATCGCTGTGACGAAACACCCTGACCAAAAGCAACTTGTGGAGGAAAGGATTTATTTCACCACAATTTCATATAACAGTTCATCATCAAAAGCAGTGAGGGTCGGAACAAAGAGGACAGGGCTGACATGGAGCGTGGAAGGGCCTGCTTACTGGCTGGCGTCCTCTGGAATGCTCAGCTTTCCATGAACCCACCCCACACTTTGCATTGATTCTTTGTGAGTTTCACATCATGTACCCAGAGTTCCAAGGTCCCTGTGTATCTGCCCTCTACCCTTGCAACCTCCTCCTCAAAAGAAAATTAAAAACAAACAAACCCAAAAAGCACAGAAAACATTTCATCATGGAAGCTGCAGTGTGTCCCACAGTGTGCCCTTCTGCCCACACTTCTTTGCTTGCAATTGTTCGTTGCAATGACTCCTTGGTCTGGTTCAGGCCTCTGGTTTCTGCCACACCATCAATCCTCACCAGAACTCCTGCCGGTTATTCTGTTGTTGCCCTGTGTCATGGAGATCCTGAAGCTTTGGATCAGCAGGCCCGGCCCTTCATGTGCTCCAACGGTCACAGATGATGCAGATTTTAGGGTGGGCCATCTCAGAGCCCTGCACCTGGGACTGAGTGGTAGCTGAGCTGGTCAGCCTGCAGGCTCTCCAGAACCCATGCCACAAAGGTGAGCTCTCCACCACTGCCCCCAGCTAGGCCACCCATTGCCGACACTGACAGGAGGCAGGGTCAGCTCTTCCACTCCTATGCCCTTGGGGCCGGTTCATCCACACCCACACCACCAGAGCCATCTCCACTGTGCTACCCAGTCAGGTCAAGAGGCCCGATCACCCAAGCGCTGCAGCCGGTGAGGGTCTGGGCCAAGTCTCCTGCTTCCACACATTGGGGCTGGCCTTTGCCATCAGGGCCAGCTCCTCTGTACTGCCCAGTCAGCCTGCTTTCTTATAGAACCCAGAAGCACCAGCCCAGGATGACACCTCCCACAATGGGCTGGGCCCTCCCCTATCAATCACTAATTAAGAAAATGCCTACAGCCTGACCTTATGGAAGCATTTTTTTTAATTGAGGTTCCTTCCTTTAGATAAGCATAGTGTGTGCCAAATTGACATAAACTAGCAAGCACACTTTCTCCAATCCTTTCCTCTAGAACCGGGAGTTCACTGCTCCCAAATAAACAACAGCATCTGCTTCCCCCCCCCCCCATAACAAACAGGGAAGGTCAGTTCGGTGAACCGCCTATGCCAACTGCAATTAAGTGAAGGAAGTCACAAGCAGAAGATAGTTGAAAAGGGCTCTGACTTGTTCTGGAGGCTCAGGAAGGCAGGTGGAGCCATATTGCCCACACAGTAGTAAATCTCCTGGTACACATCTTGATTCTTGTCTTCAAGTTCTAGCCCACATGCGACGCCACTGGCAACCCTTTACCACCAGGGCCGCCCCAGTGTTCTCATTCTCAAGGCTTTTCCTGTTCATTCCGAGCTTCCATTTGTGCCTCTATCTTCAGTGTTCTGGAGGAGGCTGCCCACAGCCCTGTGTACTCCACATGTGCCTTTCAGAAGTTTTCCACTTCTCTCCTTGTCCACAGTACAAAGGCTGACCCCAATCCGCACAGCTCAAGCATCTAACCGCTGGCCCAATCACCCACTGAACATCACCTACATCCCTCACAGGCCTTGAAAACACAGCATGTCCAAGATGTCTTGGCTCCAAATCTAGAGTGGTCTTTCATCCCACTTTCCCTCTAATGTGTTAGTTTATGATGCAACACATGCGTTTCTACTCAAGCAGAAACCAAGGTGTCAGCCCAAGTTTTCTTCTCCCTTAGCTGCTGCGCTAGGTAGTTCCAAAGTCCTATGAGTTTCACCTCCTAAACAGCTCTCAGATCTGTTCTCGCCTGGACAACTCTACATTGGCATGGCTCCAGCCCCCATCAGCCTCTTAGCCTACCCTCATGACTTTCCAGACTATATTCTAATGTGATAACATCATATTCTCTGTGTTTAAAATACCCATCTGAGGGCTGCAGAGATGACACCACAGTTAAAAGCACTTGCGGCTCTCAGAGAGGTCCCAGGTTTGGTTTCTAGCAGACACACGGCAACTCACTACCATCCATAACCCTAGTTTCTGGGGATTCAATCAATGCCGTATTCTGCCCCCCCCCGGCACTAAACACACGTGGTACACATACAAAAATGTAGGCAAACACATATACATAAAATTAAAACAAGTCTTTTTAGATCATGAAATAAAATAACAATCAGGGGTGTGATGTGTTGGTGCGTTCCTCCAAGCACTCAGGAGGCTGGGGCAGGAGGATCACAAACATGAGGCAATTGCAGACTTTCGGGTGAGATCCTGCCTCAGAATTAATTAACCAATAGCCAGGTCTGAGACTAAAGGGATGCTTCATGCAGAGAGACTACTATGCAAACATGAAGGCTTGAACTTGAATCCCCAGCACCCAGCCTGGCCTCACACAGCCTGGCAGGGAAGACGAGGCTGGCTGCCAGCCTAGCCTAGAGGAGAGCTCCAAATTCAGTTAGAGGCCCTGCTTCAAGAGCACACAGCAGAGAATGATAGAGTAGCACACAGGCCTCTACACACACACGGGTTTAACACATCTTAACTATGTATACACACACATGGTACGGGTGCACACACATGTTCATGGTCTCAGCTACTCAGAAGGCTAAGGTGGGAGGATTGAAAGTTCAAAGCCTGCCTGAACTACAGAATAAGTTCAAGGCCAGCTTAAGCTCCTGAAGGAGATCCTGTCTCAAAATAAAAAGCTAAAGAAAAAAAAAAAAGCCTAAGGGTAATAAGCCAGTGGCATAATGTTTGCCCAGCACAGATGAGACCCTAGGCTTAATCCCAAAAACCACAAAATCACTCAGTTAATTAAAAGAAACAAACAGCCATGTTGGTTACTCTTCACTGCCAACTTGGTGAGCTCACTCAGCAGATTGTGTGTCCCTGAGTCAATTCCAAGGATTACCTGAGAAGAAAACCTCCCCTGAGTGTGGGTGACTTCATCTGATGGGGGCTTAGATGGAATGGAAAGTGTGCAAGCATTCACACCTCCCTGCTTCCTAGCCACTGGGGTGTGAGCAAGTAGCTGCCATGTCACGCGCGTGCGCGCGCGCACACACACACACACGCACACGAACACAGGCAACTGCCACCTTCCCCTCATCAAAAAGCCTCTCCTCCCTTAACTGTTTCTTCTCAGACCGGAAAAGCAAAAGTAATTAGTAACACACCAGTCTCAGCACGTCACTGGGAACCCTGTGACTCTCCTTACAAGCAGACACCAACAATAGCTCTCCATCTTCACCAGAACGGCCAGTTGTTTGTCTCATGTTACCCAGATACCTATGACTAGGCATAAAGATGTACGCGAACCCTCCAAAGCTATAAAGGTAATGACAATGCACTGACTAAATAGGAACAGAACTATCAAGTCAACATTCTTTAAGATAAAACATGAATTTATTGCAAGAGGCACTGTTTGCGGAAGCCAAGAGCGAACATGGACCCGTGGCATTAGGGTGGTGCTTCGCTGTGGCACACGGCGCTGCCTCACTCACCCCTCCCCCCATGCCTCCGAGTCAGCACGTCTGTCCACCCTTCTGTCACTCAGCATGTTAAGAGAGCACCAGCCTCCCGGGCTGGAACGGTAAGCCTTCCTGTGTCCTCTTCTCAGAATGCTGCACGCCTCGCATCTTCAGCTCCTCGCTCCAAGTTCTCGGATGTGACTATGTAACATGGAGTACCAGGTAGGAGTGATCTGAAGAGGAAATGGGAAAAATAGGGGAAGAGCTTTAGCTAGGGAGAAAGAGGACGATTAACACTGAAGAGGGAGAAAGGTAAACCAATGTAAAGATGTCTGGAAAAGTCATAAGGAATCGTATTATTCATCTACCCAAAAATCACACATAATATATCTATGTCTATGCATACATACATGTTGCTTAAATGAAAAACTTTCTATCTGGGCTGACAATACTCCCCCCAAAAGCCATAAACCACCTAACAAAACCCCCAACACCAGACATGAGAAGCCTCCTTTTGCTATATTGGTCAGGGTTGTCCAAGAGATTCCCCAAACAGTCTGGACTATTTCGGCTGCCTTGTTTGCCACTCAGAGGTGGAATGTAAGGCCCTGCTGCTGAAGACCATGCACTTTGGACACAGGACCTGATCTGGACTCGAGGACTAGATCTCACAGTGCCAGTAGGTGCCATGCAAGCTTCCAAGGGAGGGAAGCAACCAATAGTTCCACCAAGCTGTGGAGTCTATGAACTAGACAGCAACTAGCATGGCAGCATAATCCTGAGGGCGCAATAGTGGCATGCATACCTTGCTGGTAATAATCAGTTTCCTTAACTGGACTACAGGCCCGCTCAATAAGAGACAGACTGTGCCTGGCACTGGAAGCCTAGCCAACTATCTAGGGCTAGAGAAGCCAAGGATCTTGAAGGAGAACTGACAACCCCCACTTTGCTAAGCCAGCATAATCCCTATTATATTC